CGCAAGCAGATCGTCGATGCAAAGAGCGATATCAAGGGAAGTCAACAACAGTTTGACGCACTCCAAGAAAACATGTTACAGTTAAAGAGAAGAACGTTTGAACTGGAAGCAAACGAAAGAGCAACACAGCAACTCATTCAAGAAAAAGACAGAGAGCTGTTCGCCAGCCAGTTAAAGATCGACGAGCTTGAAAAGTTGTACGACACCGCTAACGAGAAAAAGACGGAGCTATTTACAAAGCTCTCCGGAGCGGACGAACGCATAGCAAGCTTGGAAAACGACTGCAAGGAAAAAGCTGTGGATAAAGCCAACCTTGAACACGAAATTACAGCGCTGAAGGACAGTGTGAAAGACAAAGCTACAAGGTTAGAGAAAACAGAAAAGGAATTAGACGACTCCCGTGAGAAATGCGAAGAACTCGAGATCCAGCGAGGAAGCCTTCAAGCAACCAACGAGATCCTAAAACATCAATTAGACGCCACGAAGAAGGAGTGCTCACAATTTCAGGCATTGCTTCAGAAAGAAAAAGAGCTTTGTAGTACTTTTAGTGGTCAACTGAACGAAGTAAAAAGCGAAAAGGAGATCCTCGATCGTGAGTTGAAGGGGGTCCTTGAACAGAAGGATCACATACAACAGATGCTGAATAAATCGGAAGAAAACTTGAACACTGCTGAAGGCAAAGCTGCGAACTCCTTCCACGAGATCGAGAATCTTAAACGACAGATGATCAAGGTCCAGAGTAGCGCATGCGCTGATTCTGCGCGCAAACAGCTGGAGATTGGCAAGCTCAGAGCTGAGGCTGAGTCGCTCGGAAAGGAGTTAAAGGACAAAGAAAGAGAGCACAATGAGAGCCTCACCAAGTTCAAAGTTACAGAGAAAGAGAACGAGTTCCTGAAGAAAGACCTGGCGCAGAAGCACAACCGGGAATCGGAGTTGAAACTCGACCTTACATCCACCAATAGCAAACTCCAGAGTTATGTAATCGAAAGAGAATGCTGGGAACGAGAAGTGAAGTCTGTCTTGAGCGAAATGGAACAGCAAAAGAACGCCAGCCAATCGAAGGAAGAGAAGCTTGAGCGACTGCGCACGCGTTATGAGAACGAGATCAAGTTCTTACAAGAACGCGTGGAGGCCCTGGAACGAGAGGTACGGATCATCCAAGAAGCCAGTGAACAGCAGCGTCACGCTGACGAAATTGCGTCCAAGCTCGCGCTCGAGTCCAAAGACATGGAAATTGACAACCTTAAGCTCCGTCTCCAGGCAACTAGAATGCATACCAGTGAGAAAAGTGACGTGTTGGAGATCATGAAAGACCAGCTTGACGAGCGCACCAGGCAGATTACTGACCTCATGGAGCAGCTGCGGATGCTGAAAGAGAGTTATCACCTCGAGTTAGGCAGCTTGCATGCCGACCTTAAATGCGCTCAGATGGAAAACATGCTGCAGAAGCGCGGAGAGCTTAGTGGAAGCTTTGGATCCAGGCAGGAATCAGAGTTGCTTGACGCCATCAAACAAAGCAGAAAAGAATCCGAACGACTGAGAAACCTTCTTAAACTCAAGATGAAAGACATGAAGTCCCTGAGAAAGCATATTCTCTCCGAGAGAGTAAGTGGAACTAGAAAACCTGGATATACAACGTATTAATGAAAAGACGTTAACGACTTTGCAAATGAAAAATTGAACCGTCGAGTTACATTTTACTATAAGAAAATAATATTACAAAAACAGTTAAAACATCACAAGCAATGCTTTTCACGACCGAACGTTTTGAAACTTTCGAGCAAGGCAATAAGTTCGTTTGTCCATGCTGGATATCACATATTTACCCTGTGTGCAATAAGATACTTAAGTAAGAGACCTTACGTTTAATAAATAATTTATCATAAGCAGTACTTTTTAAGACCGAACGTTTTGAAGTTTTCGAACAAGGCAAAATGTTTGTTTATCGACGCTGGATATCACATATTTACCCTGAGTGCAAGATACGTACGTCAAGTAAGATATATTACGTTCAGTAAATAATTTATCAGAAGCAATGCTCTTTACGACCGAGCATTTAGAAATTTTCAAACAAGGCAGTTAGTTTGTTTCTCGATGCAGGATTTCACTTATTTACCATGTGTGCAAGATACGTGAGTCAACTAAGATACATTACGTTTAATAAATAATTTATCGAAGTTTTACAAAGTAATTATAACTTCAAGAGAGAAAAAAGTAATTTTCTGTACAAAAAAGCTACTAATATATTTAACTCGAACGCTATTTTTGTACCATTTTGTATACGAATTTATATTTAAAGGCGTTTTTTGTGTGCACAAGGCTCTGTATTTCAAAGATCTGATTCCAGGCACACTTCCGTGTTGTGTGGCATTATTATAAATAGGAGAAAAGAACTTCTTATTCAACTATAAGTAACATTTCTGATTATGCTATAAACAGTATTTGTAAATAAGCTTAGGATTTGAGTGCATTTTCAATAAAGATATCAAAATTTAACCCTTGTTCAACTGTCAAATATGTAGGATTCAATAACTGAGCTACTTTTCATTTGCATTTTACGACCTGACATCATTTTTTTTCTTGAGCTTTTCCAGACCATTTATCCTTAATTTTACGCATGGAAAACCTTTTTATTATATAGGTACAAGTGTTTTGTACAGGTAATAATACGGTTTCGAGTTCAATTTGGAATTAATTTGCACGTGTGAGTTTTTCAAAATGGAACGAGAAAAACCGTATGATTACTTATTAATAACATAAACATGAAAAAATTCGCGTGGGGGAAGTGCCGGAAGATCTTTCTTGAAGCCTTTTTTTTTCTTATTCGAAAAAACGTTTTTCAAAGTTTCCGTAGAAAATTTTCGTCATCATTTTACGTGATATCATCGGCTTAGAAAATTTCCTATTGTCTTTCGGCCGATCATTATCCAGAATTACGATGTGTAATTTACACTGGTGTTACATTTTTTGTACGGGTGTTACACTTGAACTGCACTGCTCTCAGCCAATCAGAATCGAGTAATTTTTTCATGTGCATTATTTACTGGAAAATACAGCAGTCGTAAAATTCATACGAAACTACATCCGGGACTTTTCCATATCCTCACTAGTGAAGATATCGATGACTTCACTGATGTCGTGTTTGACCCTTAAACCGTACTTAGATTTGTTGGTGTATGATCGAAACATCTTCGGATCTTCCTCGAAAGCCTTTGGCAATCTTCGGAAATCTCGGAAAATGTTCAGAAACGTTTGTGTTGTCTTCGGACAATTTTTAGAAATCTTCGGAAAGTGGTCGGAAATCTTCGGAAAACAGCCAAAAACATCGTTATCAGTATGTCTCTATAATAAACAAAATAATACATGGTTGCTTGTAGACATGAAATATCTTTTCTCTTATTCAACTTTATACCTCACTCGTTCGCTGCACTCACTCGTGAGATACCGAGTTGAACACTCGAAGACATATTCCATATCTACGTACGCCCATGTATTATCCTCTATCTACTACATACACAAATTAAATTGCGCATTGTACGAGACCTTTAATCAGTTTTACGTACAGTTTTTGGGTCCTGTAGCAGCTCTCGTAAGGTCTCTCATGAACTGCTGGATACCTTTTGAGAGAAAAATATAACAAACAACAGCAACAATGCACGCAGCCCCAAAACAATAGCAGCTGCTGCAATGTCGACAAATAAAATTACAAGCTTATGAGAGCTGCTACACTTGCGCAGTTTTTCTCAGACCTGATAAATATTCTTTAAGGGGAAAAGATGAATGTACTCTGAAGAATTCTGTAAGAACTGATTCATTTAAATTTAACTTTTTAACAGAACTGTAGACAAGTGAAACTCTCTGCCCTTGTCGGTCCAACAGGTTACTACTGTCGCCAATTTCAAGAAAGGTGTGAGGGAGCATTTAGTTTTTAGCGAGAGATAAGTGACGTGTCCACGTTTTTCTTTTTGATAGGTTTTATATTTTTTTATTTCTAAATATTTAGGTGGTCTATCATGTATGGGGTCCCGTAATTGTTTTGAAGACCTCCCAATGGCTTATGTTATAATAGGTTCTTTTTCATA